TGATTTTGCTGTTCCAAAGGTCACCTTAAAAACAAGCAGAAAAACTAGTTTTCCCTTCTATGAACAACAGTCAGTTCCATTGCCGAAATGCGGCTCTCTGCTTATTCTGAATTGCACATGAGCACACCAGGATACCCTAAGTCAGGGGTGTCCAAACTTTTTGCAAGGAGGGCCAGATTTGGTGAGGTGCAAATGTGTGGGGGCCCACCATTCAGTTCGACATTCTTTGAACCATTAACATTAAATGCAAATGAACTATTTTATGAAAGACTAAACAAATAACTTAACTGCACTAATGTGAAGGGTGATACTGAGATCTCGACTGCATTATATAGGCCAGGTGTGGCTCAAAAACAGTGGTTTTGATGCGCAAGATGTCACGCAGGTGAAAGTCACTTAGTCTTGTCCTCACGCGGTTCTTGTTAATGTTCATAACCGAGAATGTCTTCTCACACAAGTATGTCGAACCAAACAAGCTCAGCATTTTCTTAGCAAATGTTCGAATCTCTTGGAACCTGTCTTTATCCAGCTGGCGGTAAAAGTTGACAAGAGGGAGCTGTTGGTGCCAACTGCGACACTCGGCATCACACTACAGCTCAGTGAGCTCCAGCTGCAGGTGGTCTGGAGCATCATCAGGGTCCACAGAGAAAGATGAAAAAAGCATTGTCTCCTTTTCAATAGCTGCAAAATCCTGAAAGCGCTGTTGAAACTCCTCAGCCAGAGATGTGATGTCTGCTTCATACCTCCTTATTTGCGCACTCGTATTGTTCTGTGGAAAACTGGTCATTATTTCCTGCAGTGATGGGAAATGTGTGGTACTGGGCTACATTTGTGACAGGTGCCTTTGGAAAAGTAGCAGCTTGGTCCCAAAGGCTTTGATATGTGAATACAGTTGGCTTACCACTGCATTTTGCCCCTGAAGGCTCGTGTTCAGCACGTTCAGATGTCGTGTTATGTCAACTAAAAATCCAAAATCAGCCAGCCAAACAGGACCAGATAGCTCTGGCATCGGTTGTCCCTTTTTTGCCAAGAATTGTCCAATTTCCTCCCTAAGAGAGTAGAAGCGCTGCAGTGCAGACCCCCGACTGAACCATCTTACCTTGTTGTGATACACAACATCTCCGTATTCAGCCTGGATGTCGAGTAGAAACTGTTGAAACTGGCGGTGGTACAGGGCTTTGGAGCAAATATAATTAATAGCCTTCATCACTGGTTTCATAACATGATCATATTTCAGATGTTTGGCACAGAGAAAGTGTTGGTGAATAATATGGTAGAGTTTTATAACTTTGCCTCCTTCTTTGCTGACTTTGTTACAGACTAGGGTTGATAATCCACTTCGCTTGCCAGCCATGGCAGGTGCATCATCTGTAATAATCCCAGTGACTTTATTCCACGGTAGTTTCATGTCATCTATGGCGGAACAAACAGAAACAAATAAATCTGTTCCTCTTGTTTGGTCCTTAAGGCTCTGGAGGTCAAGTAGCTTTTCACTCACATTCATGTCATTGTCCACTCCTCTCAAAAAAATCAATAACTGAGCGGTGTCAGATGCATCCATGCTTTCGTCGCAGGCTAATGAAAAAAAGTCAAACTCCACTCCTTTTGCCTCTGTCTCTTAATATCAGATGAAATGTCTTCAATTCTCCATACCACAGTGTTACGAGCCAGGCAAACATTGGCAAACTCTTGTTTCTTCTCAGGACCAATTTTCTCCACCATTTTCATCATGCAGTCTTTAATAAATTCAACCTCAGTAAAAGGTCTGCAGTGCTTGGCAATCAGCGTTGCCACCTTGTAGCTCACCTTTGTGGCATTTTCATTTGACTCATGGGCTCTTGTGAAAAAGCGCTGCTGTGCCATTAAAGCAGCTTCCAGTTCCTTCAATTTTTCGCTGCGTCCGTTCCCAGTTAGCTTGTTGTAGTTAGCATGTTTCGTCTGGTAGTGCCTCTTGATACTACAGCCACAGTCTCTTGGCAAATTAGGCAGACACAGTTGTTTTGTATTTCAGTGAAAAAATACTCCAATTTCCACTTGTCCTGGAAGCGGCAGCCCTCGCTGTCAACTTTCCTTTTTTTAGTTACAGTCGCCATTTTAGAAATGGGCACACAAGCCTTGTGTCACAAGGGTCATGCGGCGAGAGTGCTGACTCAGGTCTACTGCCATCTTCTGGTGAAATATAACCACCAGCCTTGAAGGAGCAGGAGGCAGCAGGGGACAGCAATTGGCCCCCGGGCCGGACTTTGGACATACCTGCCCTAAGTAGTCCTCTGACCATATTCAACATGACAAATATTTGGCTGCTGTTGTGTAAGCTATAAGAAAAGGTTGCAACAACTGATATTGTCTTGGAAAAGACAAGAGACAAAAAGACAAAGGCATGATCGAGGGGAGGCGGCAGGCACAAGTAAAATCAACAACCAAGAAATGCCAGGCATAGAGACAAGGTGGTTTGGAAACTTCAATTAGTCCAGAATAGGGCAGTGAGACTGCTGCAAAGGACTGGCAGGTATGACTGGCACTCCTCTATCACCTTCTCTGGTTACTAATTGAAGCCCAGGCCCAATTCAAGGTGATAACACTTGTGTTTAAAGCCCTAAATGGCTTGGGCCCAGGGTATTGAAAGGAGCACCTCTTCCCATATGAACCTACCTGGCCCCTTAGATCATCATCAGAGGTCCTTCTGAAAGAGGATCCACCTCAGGAAATAAGGAGGATGGCTACAACAAGAAGTGCCTTCTCAGGATTGACACCCTGACTTTGGAATCAGCTCTCTAGAGAAGTTAGCCTAGTACCCTCTTTGTAATGTTTTTGGTGCCAGGAAAAGACCTCTTAATTTTCCTGGTATTTTAACTGTTAGAATAATTTTAATAATTTTAAAATTAACATCTGATTATAAACTGTGGCTATGCCTTTTATGTTAATGTGGTTTCTGTAAAGTGTAGCACTGGTGTGGTTTTATTTGTTTTAGATACTAAGCTTTAATATTGTTAACGTTTTATTATAGTTCTATTGTATATTTTTATTTGTAACCTGCCCCAGGAACCTTATGGCTAATGGGGCAGGATAAAAATCAAATGAACGAACAAACAAACAAACAAATAAGAAGAAATGGGCAGTTCAGTGGAAGAGTACATGGCTTGCACGCAGAAGGTTCCCAGCTGAATTCTTAGCACCTCCAGGTAGGGCTGGAGAAACTCCTGCCTGAAATTTTGGATAGCTACTGCCAGCCAGGGTTGACAGTGCTGGGTTAGGTGAATCAAAGATTTAACTCAGTATAAGGCAGTCTCCTGTATCCCTCTAGTGGCATCTCCATGCTCAGGGGCTTTAACTTGAGCACCAGTTCTCCCATACTTGGTTGGATTTCTCCAGTGTCAAGAAATTAGGGACAGGGTACCACAGAATCAGAGGAACTATGCTCCTCCAAGGTTCAAGAGAAAGTGGAAAAACATCCAGCTGACTCCGTAAAAACCTGTAACTTATAATCCTCCCATATTTTCTAGCTGCTTTCAGAAATTAGTGACAGGAAAGACATTAGGTTGGAATGACATTAAATAAGAAGCAGAGAACAGAAGCTAGAGGCTTGTCTGTGACTAATATATTGCAATCTCTGCTCTAACTAAACGCTGCAACCTCTGATCTTAAGATATGATAGTTGTTGCTCTTAGTGGCAAGGGTTGTTTATGAGAGAAAACAGGATGAAGAATTTTGGAAAAGCATTGTGCACTTAGCTATGCTTTTTCTGGTTTGCGACAAGCATAAATTTCTGGCAGATAGTCAACTGGGTACAAACTCTTGAAACTCTCTCTTGAAGTCTGACACACTAATAGAGCTAAAGATTATTATTATTATTTTTACCTCTGAGAGTACCTGTTTTTCCCCCATCTTTTCTCTTACTGTCCCCTCCAAAAAAAAAAAAAAAAAACCCTTTGAGAAAAGACAGAATAGCCATGTGAAGTCTAAATTGGTAGCATGATGAGTTCTCTATTTAAGACACAACCAGGTATGTAGCATTTTTCCCCCGGGATTTTCACTCTAGTTCTGCCTCCCCGTCCTATGGTTTACTGGTTGAAAAGTCAGTACTGTGCATTGCTATAGCCATCAGATCCAGAGGCCCCCAGGTTGGGGGAGGCTGTAGTGGGCTAGCACTACTTCATAAGCAATTTTTCAGGTTATGGCTAGCTTATCAACCATTTCCCCTTATTAGAAAAATTGACAAAATGTCATTATTGCAATTTTTTTCTCAAAACAATTAAAATGCAATCCTATAGTCAGAAAACAGGTCTATATTTCTCCCAGCATGCCCAGGAAGCCATCGTATAACAAACTAACCCTTAGCTGACAGCAACTGGTCATTTCTGTGCAAAATATGAATGAGAGGTGTGCAACTTCCCTCCAGCCACGAAGACGCAATCTTACGTATATTCAGAGAGAAGAAAGGTATTTCCATTCCAAGCATGCCTTAGCCAGTATGCTTGGTTGGGGCATGCTGGGAGTTATAGGGCTCTTTCCCTATCTATGCATGTATAGGATTGCACCCTCGCAAAAACAATACAGAAAGCAATTATTAATATAACGGAAAGAAAACCGATTAAATCCCATATTGCTTATCATTAAAAAAAAAAAAAAACCCAAAACGGCTCCTCAAAGAAATTACGACCAGCTTTCAGCTACCCGTCACAACGTCTCTTATCAACTAAGAAAAATACTAATAAGGCCTCAATTTTCCCTCCAGCTCCTAACAGTCCTTCCTTCCCCATCGGTCCGAAGGCGCGTGCGTCGGGAGTGGGGGTGATGAGAAATCGGTTATTTTAACGAGACTCCGGGGCGCGCAGCCCCGTTGGGACCAGCGGGCGGGGGGAGGGGGGGAGGCTGCCCGTGCGCCTCTCTTCACGCCAACACCGTCCCCTGGCGGCCAGCCTGACACGCTACAGCCGGCGAAAACACTAGCCAATAAAGCCTCCCTAGAGCCGTGTAGTTCCACCGCTGCCGTCGCTTACCATCATTGGGATTCCATATTGCAGCGTCTTGTTCTTCCGCAGCGCTCGCATGACAAACTCTGTCTAGGGCTTCACTTTATCAGACCTAACCTTACGCGGTTGCTTCACCACTTCCGCGGTTCGACACACATCCATGTCCCCCTGGATTCCGTAGCCAGAAGCGACATGGTTCCGCCGTGCGAAGTGGCGGCGCAGGCCAAAATAAGCATTCCCCGAAGTGACCTGCAACGTGAGTGCTGTGAATGCTTCGTCAAATAGAGGCCCGGCTGCTAAAACCAATGGAAGCCTGACAGGATTCCTGAACCTTTGAGAGTTGGCTGGCCCAAACCGCGCGGGCACAGCTTCCCTCAGCGGAGGGCTGCCCGATTAAAGGGCAAAGAATGTGCAGTCGCTGTCGCAAGGGCGCTTACCGTGGCTGGTTTTGCAGCTTGATCCATCCTGGGAAAACATTTCCTAGGTGCAATCCTATGCATGACGACTCCGAAGTGATATAAATTTCTGATGCCCTGCTTTCAACTCTTTGTAATATTGCTGAGGCCTCCCTCAATCCAAAAAGTACCCCTCAAGTTGTACAGAAATTCAACATTTTTATGTGTGTGAGTGTAAAACTAGTGTAACAGAAATCGTTCAGCTGAATCAGCTTCCTTACTTGTGAAAATTCTGAGAAGACAATTGTTGGCACCTAACTTTCTGCTTAAGAGAAGTGTGGAATGTGGCCTACTTTCTGTAACAATGCGCAGAAGGTACCAGTGTATGGATAAGGATACAGAACAATTGCTCTTAGAAGTATAAAAACGTTTGATTGTTAATAGCTGGTGCTGCTTTCTTATGAAGTAGGAGTGGGCTGCTCTGTATTATTGGTTGTATGCTTCAATAAGGAGCTTTTGGGTTTTTAAGATCCTGCTGGTAGTTTGTTGTCTCCTATGGTTAGATAAATGAGCCTTTAGGTTAGTCAAGGTTCGAGTTCCTGACAGAAGGAAGTCCCACTTAGTTCAGTGGGGTTTACTCCAGGCTACTCGTCTAGAGAACTGTAGCCTCCATATTCTAATATATCTATTTCTATCTTGCAGACCTATAAAAGCATGCATTATACTTTTTCTGCTCTCTGTACAGTTCCCCATTCAGCTCAGTAGTCCACCAACACAGGCAAACCACCACAGCAAGAACACACAACCTTTTGCAGGTTGCTGTACATCACTGGTGCCAGCCAAGGAGCAGAGCAAGGAAGAATTGACGATTCTTAAATGCTGCCAAACAGGCCTGATAATTGTTAAGTGTGTTTCTACATCAGTTTTCTTCCCAAGCACTGAAGGTGGTTTACAGTTTCCAAATACCAAATCAAGTGTTACCCACCGACCCCCAAACTTACATTACGAAACAAAACTCCAAACTATAGTTCTCTCAGCCGGTTGGTGGTCCCATCTGGAGCTGATGGATTGAGTTCCCTGCCCTGGACTTCAGAGTGCATCATTGTGGATGACTGGGTGTGGGTTTCCAGATTCAAGGGTATGGTTTGCAGGCTGATTTAAATCTTAGTGCAAGAGTGAGCAACTTCCATAGGTCAGGAAGGCCTACCTGAACACCAGTGTGAGCTGCACTCCTGCTGCCACACTGCCAAATAGCCACCTACATTTGCAAGTGTGCGCTTTTAAAATAATGCTTCCCACCTACAACCCACCACTCACACAAACACCAGATTTCACCCATGAGTGCATGAGGGAAACACAGAAAAAACAGGAGGACTCATGAAGCCCACAGACTACAGCTTGCTTACTCCCGCCTAGTGCTGCTACTTTTTTTTCCTCAGTGTTTGAAACTGGGTGGTAGATTATGTTTTGTATTAAAAGAAAAAAAAAACTACAAATAAGCTTGGTAGCAGTGACATAGCTTTTAGAAATGAATAAACATTGTGCTAAATGGGGGCTATGTGCACAAATTCAATTCTTAGAAAAGTGTTGTTTATTTTAGGTAGATTTGATCTGATTGACTAAAGCTAGACACATCTCCCCTCCCACTTCTGTCATATGACTTTTTCAAATACTTCACCTTAGCGACTAGATGTGACCATTGTCCTGGTGTTTCTCCACTAGATGGCACATTCTTTATATGGGATGTTAGCACAATCCCTTTTCTTGTTACTGTATTGCTTGCATAAAATTAAGCATTATTAAGTGCTTATCTTCTGTATTACACATAATTCTTCACTAAACAGAGTCATGTGATTCTCTTATATTGCTCTCAAACCACTATAGATTGTTGAACGTACTTTAGAGAACAGACCTGCAATGGATCATATAAAGACTGGGCTATTTACTCTTTGGCCAACAATATCATTCATAAATTAGGGTGATGCCTTGGATATAGAATGGGTCCCATGCAAACAACTGTTGTCTTAGATATGGTCCTTACTTTTTTGAGGTACACATTTGGAAAACAGAGTTTCCTAGGATTTTTCAATACCAGGGTGCTAGCCATGGTTCATGTGAAGAAAAATCTGTAGCCAAAGAGCTTCAGCTATTGGGTGAAATGGAAATGCAATAAATGAAATTAAATAAGTCAGAATTTAAGTTTCTGAGCATGTGCAAAGTTTTTTCACTTGTCCTTAATTAGCTGGAGCTTCTTCCCTTGCATCAAGGATAAATAGTTTCTGGGTTTAAAAACAAATAAACCATAGCAACACAAACCTTGAAAATCAGGGTGCTACCTGCTTGCATCCATTTTTTTCAAGTATGTGATTGATTGTTTGATTGTATTTCCATACCACCCAACAACCAAAGCTCTCTGGGTAGTTTATAAGAATTAAACACCCAACATAAAGATTGCAACATAAACATTTTAAAACAGCATAAAGCTAAACCTGAGTAAAATCCAGCAGGTGTAGAAAGATCTAAAAATATATAAAGCCAGTTCACACAATAGAGCAAGCTCACTGTGGGTTACTTATGAGCTGTGGTGTGAGCTGTGCCGTTTTGAATAGGCAGCTCTTGATAGGGATTGCAGCGTGACATGCAAACATGGCCATTGAGGATTATGTGAGTGGTGTTTACCCTGATAGCCCCATTCACACAACATATCACAACCCCATTATGAAATGCATATAGAAGACGGCAGCTGACATGTTGGTTAAATAACCAACTCTGAGCCTGGAGTGTCTTGTGAACAAGATCGACAGCATACTTAAAAGCAATGCCAAGGAACTGAAAAGCTTTAGTGAGATGAAGAAAAGGTCCTCACCTGGTGCCAAAAGACCATCAGGTGAGCCTCTCTGCAGAGGGCATTCCATAACCACTAATGTAAAGGCCACCTTAGCAGCTCCCCCCGCCTCACCTCATGGGCAGGGGCACACCAAAGAAGAGCCGCTGAAGATGGTCTCAGGGGCCAGGCAGGTACATATGAGAAGACATGATCCTTCATTAGCTGCATCCTGAGATCAAAGCAGGATGATGTTGCTCCCAATACTGCCTCCATCTGATCCTGCATAGTATAAAGCCAGTAGCAATTAGCCACAGTAGGTTGGTTGCTGTGCAAACAAGCCATTGTGCACCCAAAGGATAATTCGACTCACCCTGGGATAGTCTCTTCCTTGGTTCTCCAGCCAGTCTTCCCGCCATGAGCATGTGCTGTTTTTTGGTTTGATGCAGCTTTTTCTCTTAAACTATCCCCTTTTGGGAATTGTGAAATAGGATAGGCACTTCACCCCTTTGTAGTGGGATCTTCATGGCTTTGAATAATCCCTTAGAGGCCAATGCCCCCAACTTTGTCACTAATTCCCAAGACTTTAGGTGCTCACCCCTTTTTTGCTGATAGTTGTTTCAGTCAAATGTCAGAAATTTGGGAGGGGGGAATGTCTGCTTTGAAAGCAGAGATTTAGGCAGACATAGACAGAGAAGGATACAAATTACATATGTGTACTGTGTACTTCCTCTTCTAGTGACAGATTTTATTTTCCTGGGCTCCAAGATCACCGCAGACGGGGACTGCAGCCAAGAAATTAAAAGATGCTTGCTCCTGGGGAGGAAAGCTATGGCAAATCTAGACAGCAGAGACTAAAAAGCAGAGACATCACGCTGCTAACAAAAGTGCGTATAGTCAAGGCCATGATTTTCCCAGTTGCAATGTATGGCTGTGAAAGTTGGACCATAAGGAAGGCTGAGCGCCAAAGGACTGAGGCCTTTGAATTGTGGTGCTGGAGGAGACTCCTGCGAGTCCCTTGGACCGCAAGGCGATCAAACCGGGCAGTCCTAGAGGAGGTTAACCCTGACTGCTCTTTAGAAGGCCAGATCCTGAAGATGAAACTCAAATACTTTGGCCACCTAATGAGAAGGAAGGACTCCCTAGAGAAGAGCCTAATGCTGGGAACAATTGATGGCAAAAGAAGAAGGGGACGGCAGAGAATGAGGTGGCTGGATGGAGTTACTGAAGCAGTCGGTGTGAGCTTAAGTGGACTCTGGGGGATGGTGGGGGACAGGAAGGCCTGGAGGAATGTTGTCCATGGGGTCGCGATGGGTCAGACACGACTTCGCGACTAACAACAACAACAACTCCTGTTCAATCTGAACTATTTTGCCCTGCCTACATCCCTTCTTCCAAAAAATGGGGGAAAACACTACTTCTGACAGCCGTCAAATGCAAGTGAAAAGGAAGGTGCTTTTTTTCTACTTACCTGAGCACCGCTTGTCTCAGGAATGGGTGGAAAATTTGGGAGCTCTAGAACTGAAGGAGAAGGGACACTCAAAACCCTGAGGATCTTGCTGTGCAAGGAAAAAAGAAATGCATACTGCCTTTTGTGAGATGCATGCTGCTGCCTTGGATAGCTGTCACATCAAAGTGGCCCCATTTGAATTTTTTCTGGGTCAATGTCCAGCACCGATACCTGCTGCACTTTGACAACAGGTACAGAACAATACTCTGGTGAGGCTTTCCCTTTTCAGACCCATGGAACTAAGCACCTCCACAGTTATATAAATCTGATTAAAATAATGATTTTAACATTATGAAAAATATGTGCACATTTGAAGTGCATTTAAAAAAAAGAGATGACCAACCAGTTAAAGCCTCTCTAATGGGTCACTTGGGCACCTTGAAGGGTCTGCCACTAGTAGCAGCATGGGTG